AGAGAGAGAGAGAGAGAGAGAGAGAGAGAGAGAGAGAGAGAGAGAGACAGACAGACACAGACAGACAGACAGACACAGAGGAGAAAGCCCATAATTTCAAATGTGATCATATCATACAGACCCACAAAGCTGCTACCCACATTTTAAAGACACAAGCACATGAGTTCACAGATATGCACATGCTCACCCACACAAAGACACACAGATGCGGCCACACAGACTTTCAGACTCCTGTGTACACAGCTCTACACAGTCACATGCAAATGTCTCCTCTCGTTGGCCCTGCCCAGCCAGAGGAGCAACAGCAAAGACCCTTTGCTCCCATTGGCAGGAAAGCGAGATGAGTCTTACCTGGAGCCTGGCTCCCTAGGCTGGGGCTCACACACAGGCTTGGAGCAGGCCCTTGTGTGAGCTGGAACACAGACACACTCACACACTCCACACCCCAGCCCCATCCTCTTGGCTCCCATCTCTGCTGGACCATACAAAGAAGCTCCTCCGGTGAGGTTTGTGGTGAAGAGATGGGAAGGCTGGCAGGGAGCAGCTGCTGTCACCATGGCTACCAGCTGACCCACTTCTCCACCCAGGCTGGCCCACCCAGCCCAGGCGAGGCGGCTACAGCAGCTTTGGGCAAGGTGGGCCCTCTCCCATCACACGAAGGGAAGGAACAACCCTCGAAGGGTGTGGTAAGGGATGAGCTGAGACCCAGTTAGGCTGGGTCCTATGAAGGAAGGCACCAGGCTCCAGACAGTCCCTGACAAGAGAAGAGCACTGAAAATATGTTCCCGAGAGCTCTGTCTTCTCCCACAGTCTGGGTCACAGCCCTCACAGTAATGCAGGTGCTGTGATCACATCCCGGCCAATGTCCCAGACTCAGCATTCCCTCAGTCCAGCAGACTCTGGGCTAGAGGAGCCCTGTCTCCTGTGCAGAGAAGGCTTATGGGACGCAAGGCCCAGCTCCTGCTTTCTTCTGAGTACAGAGCTAACACGTTTCTTCTCCCAGCCAGAGACTCCTGAAGACATGGCTCTGTGTATTCCCTCAGAACCAGCGACTTAGAGAAACCCAAGCTCCAGGATGATCAGTCCCAGGGAGAGATGGTCTTTACCCAGGATGAAGCGCCCCCCCCCCCCCCCGTGTGACACTTACCACCTCCTTTCCTTCACCTGGCCCCCAATCCCTGACTTTCTCCCCTTGGTTCCACAATATCCTGGCTTCTTCCCCATCTTTTCCATTCCTCACAAGTGCCACGGTGTCTCCTGTCTTCCTGGAACGCTCTTCTACAGCTTGCCCCTACCGCCATGCTCCCAGGACTGAATGCTTGTCTATCCCTCCACCTCTGCCTCCCTGACTTCATCTCTTCTCAGTCCCCCTCTGAAGGTCATTTCCTAGCAATCTGCCTGGGCAAAGAAAGTCTCCTCTCTCGCTCCCCCAGAACTCTGTACGACAGAGTATTATGGGGTAAAGTCCTGATACCCTGTATCTACAGTGTGGCCTTCATTGAAAATGTGACCTTTGCAAATGTGATTAAAGTCATCCTGAAAGGGTGGGGGGTGGGGGCTGTCCCTACTCCAATTAGTGTCCCTTCAGGAAGAGAGCACTGACTAGAGAAAAGGGAAGATGGTGTGCAAGTCCAGACTGGAGCACCAAGCCGAAGACTGCCGAGGACTGCGGAGGACTGCCCAGGACTACCGAGGACTGCGGAGGACTGCGGAGGACTGCCGAGGGTCGCACAGGAATCAATCCTTCCAGACACCTTGATTTCAAACTTCCAACCTCCAGAGCTTTGGGAGAACAGATTCAGACTGCTCCGAGCCACCTCCTTTGTGGTCCTTTTTCCCAGCAGCTCTGGGACATGAACAAACTGCCGTTTGTAACTTGTGCAGTGCCTGTCTCCCACACCCAGCCCCAGGCTGTGAGCTGCTTAAAAATAGGAACTGTGTTCTTCACCCTAAATCCCTGGTACCTGGCATGGGTCTGGCAATGTAGCAGGGCTCTGTAAATATTTGTTGAAAGAATGAATGGCAACCAAAAGTACCAAATGAACACCAATGGAGAGAGGAACCATGAGTCAGTTTTATTTTCTTCATGTGACATATTGTGTTTTCTAAAGCTACTACTTTAGAAACTGTATTAATGCTATAATAAAGGGAAAAAAATAAATATTTTCCTTTCCAAAACATATGCTAAAATAACAGACATTTCCACCGTGTGTGTTCTGTGAGCAGGGACAAACTCTGCTACATGCTTGACGACTGCTTTCTATTGATTAATTGATTCCTCCTTGGGTTTCCAGAGCGCTTTCCGCACTGGAGTTACAGAGTCTGAGCTCTGGGGCCCAGGAGGTGGGAAGGGTATACAATCTTCTTGGCCATCTCCACTATCCACTCCTCCACCATAGACTGTGGAATCTGGCCAACATGGCAGCCATCACCTGATGGTGCTAAACTTGGCATCTCAGATTATCTCCCACATCCTGGCAAAAGGCTGTACACCCAAACAAGCAGGGTACATAGTGAACACACCGACCAGCACTCCTCCAACTCAGATGTGGCCACAAACCACCTAGGGACCATGCTGAAGTGCAATTCTGACCCTCGGGCTCCCAGGTGGAGCCTGAGATTCTGGCTGTTTGTCTGTCTGTCGGTCTGTTTTCCACCAGCTCCCAAATGATGCCCTTGCTGCTGGCCCACGGACCACTCATGGATGCGAGATGCCAAGGGAAAACACTCTGTTATGTAAAAAGAAAGAACACTGTAGGCTGTGGGACACCAGAGAAGGCATCAGGAAGAAGTAC